ACAACTGGACACAATGTAGAGATCAACAGATTGTGGGAGCCCCAATGAATACATCTACTTCACAGTTGGCTGTGGCTCAGGAAACATCACAGTAAAATGGGGCAGAAAGACTCTAAGAGCCAGAACACCAGGAAGTCTTCTGAGAGTCTCCCCTACAAATGGCTGCGTAAATAAGAGCAATAGCATTATCAAGGGGGCATACTAACATGGAAGGGGGCGAGTTTTGTGGGTCTCACCTCTAGACAAAGAACTACAACTTTTAGACCTTAGAAAGGTCTCTGCTTTTCAGATATTCAGGTAGAACCACAATTTCTGATCCTGAGTTTTTATTAATCATGCATCATCCATAAATTCATGAACATATGGGTAGCACAAACTAGAATGAGTAGGTAATTAAGAAGAAAGGGACAGGAAGTTGGGAGGGTTGGAGGGTGGTGTGTGACCTAGAAAGAATATGAGTGACTATGTTCCAAACACATTGTATGAATACATGAAATTTTCAAAGGATTAATCAAAAATCATGCTTAAAAAGTTATGAAGCAGTTAAAACATTTTGAAAAGTTAGAACTTACCAAAACTCACAGACACAAGCCCATACACACATGGTGCCATATGCACTTGAGATAAATATGAAGATGCAGAATTAACCACACAGATGCAAAACTACCCAGCAAGCAGGGAGTCAGCTCCTCTGGGCACTTTGAGGGTCTCCAGCCTCTGGTGTGCTTGGCAATCCTGGTGTGCCTTGGCTTGAAAGCCCCCTGCTCCATCTTTGCTTCTCTGGTCCCATGGCATCCTTTCCCCGTGTTTTAATCATGGAGTCTTTCTTCTTCATAAAGACTCCAGTCACATTGGATTTAGGGTCATTCATAATATCTTATGTAGTAACGCTATGTTCTGCTTAAATCACCTTTGGGGGCAGCAAGATGGCTCAGCAGGTGGAATTCAATCCTGATGGCCTGAGTTCAATCCTTGGGACTCTTACGGTGGAAGGAGAGAATCAGCTCCTTCAAGTCGCTCTCTGACCTCCACTTGCATGCTATGGTATGATTACGTGAATGTATGTTGCATATAAAATAAAAGTAGTAACACATCTATAAAGCCTTCTTAATAGATATTAGGGAGTAGGGCTTCTTCAGATATATGGGAGCCATTCAACAATTCAACCTATAGCTCTATTCCATAGGTCAGTATCATTAACTAAAGGGGCTTCCTTACCCCAAGCAGGAATATGTCTAATATCAGCTGTGCCTACTTTGGACTTTTATGAACACTCATGTGTGTGTGTGTCTGTGAACTCTGATACACCACTGATGCCCTCAAGATGGAGACATAATCTCTAGTGGGTTTAAAGGGTAGACCACAGGGCTTGGGTTTGACGAATGACCCTTGGTGGGCACACTGAGGTAGATACAGCCTTTCACAGACACATATCTGAGGTTGGAACTTCTGAGAATTCCTGAGCAAAATTCTCATTCCCTCACTCCATGGTGGAGCTCTTGTGAGAATTAGAATGGGTTAAGCAAATAGAATAAGGAGATGAAGGGGCTAGAATCAAGCATGGTTTCAGGTCCAACTCACTCTGGTCCCAAAGGAATGTCAAGTCAGGTTGGCTTGGTGATAGGCTAGGTCTGATGCAGGCCCTGGGGCTGGGTCACAGTGTAGGCTAGTGGAGCATCACCACAGTATGTGGGGGTGCCGCAGCTGATGGGTGAAGGGAATCCCACACATGGAGTGAGACTCCAAGAGTACTTACACTCTGCTCAAGACACCACACTGTGCATGCTTCTACCCAGAATGCACCAGTGTTCTTGTTCCTCATCTTAGGTTTTAGCTGTTTCATGACTGCGAGGGCTTCTTTGTGGCTCTATTTATTGAGTGAGTCTGAGCCCCTTTCTCTAGATTCTGACCTGTTGGGAGCAGTGAGACCCCAGATCCTGAATTTCTTGTAATCTCCTGATCTGAGTGCCTACAGCTGCTCTGAGCACGAGACCTTCAGGAGTTCCTGATGGCAGGAGAGTGGTTTCCGGTGGGTTTGGCTGGGGCGTGGCTATCTCTATATAATCTGCCCCTGAACACAATAAAGGGGCATTCTTGGGGAATTTAAGGATGACCCGTGTCGCTGGCTCTCTGTCTGCGTATTTTAACCTCCAGCCCCCTTGCCTGAAGCTCGCGAACTGGGTGTCAGCGCACAGAGTCTTAGATTTTAGCTGTTTCAGGACTGTGAGGGCTTCCTTGTGGCTCTTGGTAATGAGTGAGTCTGAGCCCCTTTCTCTAGATTCTGACCGCTTAGCCACCCTCCTTTGGAGCGAATCTACTGAAGTTCAGATCTGGAATGTACCCAAATGTACTTTTGTACTGAAGGCTTGGTTTCTAGTTTTACATTGTTAGGAGGTGGTTGATCCTTTAGTGGAAGGGGTTGAATGAGGGGAATGCTCTTGAAGGGGATCGTGGCACCCTAACTTCCTGTTATTCCTTTATGTCCCATCCCATGATGGATCCATTTTGATACTCATTGTCACCATGATGCCCCAAGTCAATAGGACCAACCAATCATGGATTGGAATCTCCAAGGCCGTGAGTAAAAATGACCCCTTTCTCTTTATGTCTTGTTTTCTTGGGTGTTTGCTGCAGTAATGAAAGATGAATCACTCAGTACCTACTCATGATTTTTATCTGTTTCCTCGAAGAACCACCATTTTATTGATTTGTAAAAGCTCTTTACGTATTCAGAGCACACACCTCCCCCTCCCTTACTCCTTAGGGCATTTTCTGAATCATGTGTTATAGCAAGCACTAGGCAAGTCAGTCTCCAGTCATTTACATTCCACACAGCTCCTTCTAGCTTTGGATGCCTGTAAAGCTTGGCAGAGCAGCTAAAGGTTCCAGGAATGTGGCTTAGTGGCTGCCCCAGTCCTGGGGTATCAGTCACATGGGTTCCTTATGTTTTCTCAAGGTGTTTGTCCATACCACTCATCTCTGAGAACTTTGGCTCCCACTCAGCCCTCATGCCTTCTTCTCCTCCTGTGCTGTGCAGGGCATAGTGTGAACAGTCAAAACCTGGAGGCTGGGAAGTGGGTGATGGCAAGTAGTTCCAGCCCTGTATATGTCCTGAGCCACAGGCATTGGTTAGTGCGTCCCTCGCCAAACCCCTAAGCAGGCACAGCTGTTTGCATAGCTGAAGAGTGACTTGCACTACAGACGGTGGCCATGGTCAACCAGGAAGTGGGTCTACCACCCTCGAGGCTGCTATGGCCATCATTTTGGAGCTCACAGGCAGTGGGCTCTGGCAGTGAGGGTTTTACTTACTTAGTGGATCTGGGATCAAGGTGAATTCTCCAACCATTTTTCAAAGGATCAAAAACCTGAAGGAAGCAAGGTTGTCCTTTAGGGATCTGGCAGTAGTCATGTTGATGGAAGTGCTTGTTATACCATGGGTTGTAGGGAGACTAATGTATTGTCACGGTGTTGATGACTAAGAATATTGCACTAAACCAAACATAAGGAAACTGACGGAGGTTTCTGTTAGGTGTCCAAGGAGTTCCTCAAGTCACAGAATAGAACACAGGGCATAGAAGCCCATTCAGAAGATCCTGGAATTAGTCTCTGGAAGGGGATCTCAGAGATCCTGGTGGTGGTTGAGCTGGGGGACCAAGTCTGGATGTGGAGGAACTGATAGGATATTGATGGGAGAAGGACTGGAGGAAGGTGGTCAGGTAGACAATGTGCCCTACTGAGATGAGCAGGTTAGTGCTACAGTGAATGTCACAAACATCACAGGGGTGTGGACCTGGAGCAAGATCAATGCTACACCCAGCACACCTGTAAGGGAGTCTCACCCATGAACTCGCTCCAGGCTTGGGAGAAGCATGTGTGGAGGTGTATGGGGGATATGCAGTGGGGTAGGGGACAAGCTGAGGGGTATTTAGATGGAAGTTCTCTCTAGGAGAGCTGGATCCACCCTTTTCCCATGTATGAGAACGTAAGCTGGATGCCATACATGATAACAGCGAAGAAACACAAGGCAGCCTAGAGGAGCTTGTTTCCAACATATATTTCTTTTATTGTTTGTAAGGACCGATACAAGGTACTGACTATGGAGACAAAAACAGATACTGACAACACCTGGACTGCTACACGGAGCCACTCCTCAGAGAGGAGATAGTAACCCCAATCCTCCTCAGCCACAGCAGTTTTGAAGTCAATAGCCCCAAATTTCCACCTGGTAGCACATTCAAGTCCTTCGTACCAATGTCTACTTGCAGAGAACGCCTATGTTTAGGTCTCCCAGACAGACATGTGGTACCATTTCTCTAGGATACAGGTCAGGCCAAAGTTCACGTTTATTAGATCAAAGGAAAATCATAACATCCTCTTTTCACTCCAGGGGCTAAGGCCAGCACTCTGTGGGAAGGTGGTTCTTGGTCTACCCTCTTCCTATGGTATTGCTAATTACTCTTGTGAACAAAAACAGGGAAATCAGCAAACAGATTTGAACAAACTAACCTTGAATTTTGGTTCACACATAAATACGATTTTAAAAAGTCATTTATAACGTGGATAATGTCCATTGATGTAATGGGAGCCTCTGGGAAATCAAACCCAACAATGGGTATCTTTCCCCAAAGATCAGGCATGACTCCAGGCCAAGAATATGATCTTTTGCTTTGGGACCCTTGGAGAGCAAGTTTCCAGGGGTTGAGACACACTGGCTATGAAGAGAACACTTTCTCTGTGGCCTAGAATTCCATACTGAAGTGACCACAAGCTGAGCAGGCCTCCCAGGGGCCAGAAGTAGAGGCTGTATCTCAACCTTACTTCATGTCTATTTATCTCAGCTACAAAGGAAAAAAAAACATGGAATCTCTGGTTACTTGCACCAAGTTCCTTGTCCTCCGAGGCTCAGAACAGACCCTATGTGTGTGTGATGTGTGAACAGGATGCTAAGGTCGTGGTGTCTGCTCAGAGCCAAGCACCAGGGAAGCACTTGGCATGTATTGACTGGCTTTCCTACCTTCTACACAGCAGACAAAACAGGATAGATACTTGGCATTGTAAATCTGAGCAAAAGAAATGATCTAGGCAGCTACTGTGAGCACAAGGATTCTGGCACAGTGTATATACAGGTACCAAGGTCCCTCTCCTAGAGTACAGGGGACGGTAAGACCCATCCTCCCATGGTGATCACAAATGGGGGAGTCAGCCTTGCAGGAACAGGATACCACCCGGCAGAGACAGGGACATGGTTGACCTCATTGTATAGAGACGAGTGTTCTTACAGCCACATACAGACAGAGGCCTCTTTTTTTTTTGGTAGCATGGATTGGGTGTGAACAGTCAAAGATTGAAGCCTGTGCTTTGATTATTTTTCCATATAGCAAAGGGAAAGGGTGGAAGTGGCGCTCCTTTCTTGATGCCTGGGTTTCCTTTCGTGAGCTCCCTGTCCCTGCGGTTGTGCGATGGCCCACTTGGCTTCTGTCTCCTTCCACTTTACACCAACAGCCAGTGGCGCAGCTGGAAAGAAAGCATTGTTTATTTAGAAGCAAAGAATAGACCTTAAAGTTATCACTTATGGGCCAGTAGCCCTATGATGAGATCAGAGTTGTCTCAACAACTCAACAGGAGGTACCACTCACCCATGGGGAGCTTACCACTGATGGATGCCACTCCTGAGGGGCACCAAGAGCCATTAACTTTAAAGGACTGAATTACTTGATGAAGAAGAGATAAGGATACTAGGTGTAGCAGCTAATGTCTGTAATCACAATACTCAGGAGGCTGAAGCAGGAGGATTGAGTTTGAGGCTAGCCTGGGCTACAGTAAGATTCTGTCTGGACAAAAGAAAGCAAGCAGAATATAGCAAAATAAAACAGAACCTACATAATAACAAATAATCGTGCCTGTAGCGCTCAGTTGCTGAGAAGGTGAAAGATGCAGGACATCTTTAGATCCAGAGCAGGCTCCGTATTATCCTCCTACTGATTTGTGAGTGGCTCGGCAGTGTCCTCCTCCCCTGCCTGCTGAACCTCTATTGGGTCCATCTCAGGGGGTGCTGCACTCTGGAGCCGGTTTTGCTGGGTGTGGTCCAGGAGCAAGTGGGGAGCAGCACAGACGGTGCGGGGATTGAGACCAGCAGCCTGCTGCTCTGCTGCTTGCTCAACCAGTTTGTGCTCATGAGCCATTTGCTGACACTCACTGACTGGAGAGTTCTGCGCTGCTAAATGTTTTTAAAGCAAGGCTCATAAGACTATTGACTGACACACTGAACCAGAGATAGGAGAGAGGCTGGAAACCTTTCTTCCTTAAGCCTGCCCTACGGCAGAAAGACAGATCTATGTAATACTTTTGGGGATCTGCCCAACATACAGACACTAAAAAGCACACCTTCACAGGTCCAAGGAGTTCCAAGAATATTTAAAGGTATTGAAAATACTGAACCAGGCATGGTGACACATTCCTTCAATACCAGCACTCAGAAAGCTGAAGCAGGTGTATCTCTGTGAGTTCAAGACCAGCCTGGTCTGTATAGCAAGTTCCAGACCAGTAAGGATTATAGTGAAACCTTGACTAAAAGACCAATGGAACCGAATAGAAGACCCGGATATTAATCCACACACCTTCAAATACTTGATTTTTGACAAAGAAGCAAAAAAAAAATCAAATGGAAAAAAAGAAAGCACATTTAACAATGGTGCTGGCATAACTGGATATCAACATGTAGAAGAATGGAAATAGATCCATATCTATCACCATGCACAAAAATCAAGTCCAAATGGATCAAAGAACTCAACATAAAGCCAGCCACACTGAACCTTATAGAAGAGAAAGTTGAAGTACATTTGAACTCATTAGCACAGGAGACCACTTCCTAAATATAACCCCAGTAGCACAGACATTGGGAGAAACAATTAATAAATGGGACAATTCTTACTCATAAGTGATTTTAAAACATAAAGCAAAGAAAACAAGCCTACAAATCACAATCTCAGAGAACCTAGACAACATTGAGGACCCTAAGAGAGACTTACATGGATCTAATTAACATGGGAAGCAGAAAAAGACAAGATCTCCTGAGTAAATTGGGAGCATGGGGACCATGGGAGAGGGTTGAAGTGGGGAAGAGAGGGGCAGGAAGGGGAGCAGAGAAAGATGTAGAGCTCAATAAAATCAATAAAAAAAGAAATGTCACGGTACTGAGGATGACACTCAGAATATCCTACAATATTGTTCCAGCCTCTATAGGCATGTACAAACACACACACGCATACACACACACTGCCTCCCATCCTAACATGCACACACAGATGTTAAAAAATATTCAGGATGCAATAAGAAAAAGCCACATACTTTGGCTATGATTAAACTTTACCGGAAACAAAAAGAAAACTTAAATTTAAAAAAGCCCTATGGAGCAAAGCCTGACACTGACCCCCAACTGACAGAAAAGTTCAAATCTCAGTATGTTTGTACAAAAAGTGAAGAGGAGATATAGAAGATATTTAAAAAAGACCCCAAATGAACCTCAAAAGAAGAAACTGTGACAGGCAAGAGGGAAAGCCTTCTGCACAGACTCACAGAATAGTACACATTCCAGAATAACACTGATTAATCTTAAAATGAGTGGCTAGATCAATAAAGACATAAGGGGTTCCCAGTGATTCGGTAAGCACAGAAGCATGAGCAGGGAGTTACATCAGAAAGCATCCAAAGGACAGAGAGGAAATGCAAGGAGTGAGCAGATAACGTATGGACCAGTGACCAGAGCCGCTGTGTAACTGTGTGCCTGAAGTTCAAATGTGAAAGCAGCCACGTGTAGATAGGACCCAGGCATATACTCTAGAACCCCGAATCAAAACAGAAGAGTAAAGGGGGATTTTAAAGCGCAGCTGTGAAGGGCCCTTGGGACTGTGAGCTTTCAGGGACACAGGCAACACGAAAGGGTTATAGACGACACCTGAAGGTCGGGAGTCTGTTGTGAGAGTTCATCAAGGACATGTCTCAAGGATTTGTGTTTGAGAACCAAGAAAATAATCCTGGAAGGGAAAATGCACACTGAAAATGTGGCAGAGGACACGTGGACCCCAGAGCATGGTTCACACGAAGCAGTAACATAGTAAACCCACAGCCAGGTTTGTCTAACTTGTGGGTTAAAAAGATGGTCATGGAACACAAGACAATGACTCAGTGACCGGTTGCAGGGTTTAAGTCACTGTAATTGACGTTCAAAAGGTGAATTGAGATATTAACTTTGGACTTTGAGGGAAATATGTGCCACTCTCAAAGATAACTATTTAAAGAATTAAAATATGCAGGTTCCGAGTGAGCGGATACATTCGAGTGGAGTAAGGGAAGGCAAAAAAGCTCAACCAACAAAAAGGCAACAAGGAAGGTCCAAGGCCCTCCCTACTACATCTAGGCTGAGCAAGGTTTACATCCAAAGAGAATAGGATCCCAAAAAGCCAGTACATGCAGTAGAGACATTAGGATTAGATGGGGGTGGGGTGGGAGGGTGTGTGGAGGGAATGGGAGGAGGGGAGGAAGTGGGAATTTGGATTGATGCTTTTTAAAAAAAAAATCTAAAAAAATGGACTATAAAAAAGGCAACAAGAAGGAGAATAAACACAAAAGCAGGACAAATAATTTAAGGGTAGTAAGATGATGCTCCCCTCTATGTGAGTGACTCATCCAGCCAGTTGGATCATCAGGGTGAAACTTGTGGCTTAAGTTAGTGTTGCAAAAGATACCAAAGTCACAGAGTCACTGAGAACGCCAAAGGGATGGTGTTCCCCCATCAAAGGTGCAGCTACATTCACCATGACAGCAGTTAGAGGAGGGACTAGCCTCAGAACAACACGTGTGCTCATAGCACATGTCGCCTGCCTCTCAAAGGAGCGAGCACCTGCCTGCCCCATGGACACCTGACCAGGCTTGATTCTCCTCTCACTCAACTGGGCCTCCCAGCCCTCAGGTTCCCTGATGGGCATCTGACTAACTCCAAGCTTTCATCTTTTCCCTGTTAACGCCAGCCCTCCTGGCTCTGCTTCCGCGGTTACTTCAGGGCCTCTGCCTCATGATCCTTTTCTTGTCTTTTCTCCAAGAATGGAGATCCTAGGGATGCTCACATTTGTCCCATGGGCTCTTCCTCTCATGCAGGCCTCCTTGCCAGTGTCACCCTGGCTGCTCATCTCCATGGACTGCCCTGCCCACAACCTCAGACTTCTAGGTGGCCCTGAAGAGCATGCAATACCTGCTGGTGTGGCAAACATTTTTCCTTGCAAAGCTTCCTGATCTTGGGGGGTGGGGGTGTGAGAGCAGCTGTGAGTACTATGGGTGTTAGAGCAGTTGGAAGGTACTATTCAGGTCTCTCTGAATCCCCTCCCTGGGGGTTGAACAGGGCATCAGACTCACCGTGAATTGGCGCACCTCCCCTCTGTCCACTAGCTGGCGGTCTTTCTCAGGTGTGATGGCATAGGCCAGTTTCTAGGAGAGAATGGGGTTGTTGGTATGGCATGGGGCCCAGGGTGGCACAGACCAGCCAGCACCCACTATAACAATGAGGACTCCCTCTAAAGGAGTTAGGCTCAGGAGCCGCAGACTCAGGTCCTTAACTCTGGTTGTACAGGGGGTGCAGTGCTCACTGAGATCTCTGTCTCTCAGTGGATGCTTCCAGGTCCCACAGGGCCTGTGACTTGTTCCCTGCAGGAAATATTGTTTCCTTCTACTCATCTGTTCTTAGAGCCCAGATGTCACCAGGCCCCCAGGATTATCTCTGATTATCACCTGGGCATGGTGGCGGACCTATTCCTTCTAAACTTGGAATCAGAAAGGCTGTGCTCTGGTCTGGCCACACACTCTGCTTTTGTTCTTGACTGAGTATGGCCTGAATGACAGAGGGACCTCTGACTACCAGTCTGTGAGATGCTGTGGTGTCCAGAACCAAGGGACACTGTGGCTCCAAGGTGGAGTCCTTAGACCAAACAGGTGCATTGGGCTTTGCTGCTCAGTCCAGGGAAACTGCATGCGCTCGCGCGCACGCACACACACACACACACACTTACACTCATATATGTGGACACACCAGCACACACAAACACAAATAGGCATACATACACATACATGTCCCTCCTTTTGTTGCACCAGCCCATTGTCCCACCATGGTCCCACCTCCAGCCTCCTGCTGAGATGGTTCAGGGATGGGGACACCTGAACCACTAGGGTGAGGAGCCCCCTTGAAAACACCCACCTCTCGGAAGGACCCTGGCAGGCTGCAGAACTTATAGGTGGCATAAATGGGTACCATAGCCATTGAGGATGTGGCGATGATCCAGCCCAGTGCATTGGCCCAGTCTGGGAAGATGTAGTCTCCATAGTGTGGGGGTCTGAAGGTCACAATACTGACCACAACAACATACTGAAATAAATGGGCACATAAGTCAGATACAAAGGTAGGTGCAAAGACAGAGCAGAAAAATCAGCAAGTGATCTATAGAAGTCCTCCTGGCCGTAGAAGCCACAAGTGCCAACTCCAGTCAGGCTACCTGGGCATGGCCCAAGCAATATGACATCTTTCTAAGGCACCAACAGTATTTCTACACACATGCTGTGTAACTACACATTAAGTGTGTTTACATGTGTGCCTATCAGACAGCTTGTACCTATACTGCACACCAATACATGCACTATGTATCTATACACAATGTATGCATATGTACAGTGTGCTTAAACATGTGCTTCACACCACACCTGCACTTTGTACCTACACATGTTCTATGTACCTGGGCACAAAAGCCCTTCCTAAACATAGGAAGTTCAGTGGATGTGGGGTTAGGATGCAGTTTTGGGTGCAAGATCTTCACTTATGGTGTATTCCTCAGGGTCAGCAAAGTTTACTATTCAACCACACCATCTTGGAGAATATATTTGGACACACATATGCTTGTTTTTGGTTCCAACAGAGGACACATTTCTTAGAAATTGCCATGTCTGACAAAGCCACACTCTTACATCTAGGTTGATTTTGATCGGGTCAGTCTGTCTGGGAGTACGATCTGCTGCAGAAGTCATATGATAACATGCCTGCTGTGCGCACTCTGATAACAGAGTGACTTAGAAAAACATGAGGTAGCTTTTTATTCTGCTAAGATCCATTACTTTATATGGAACGGGTTTAAAATTTAAGTTTGAAATTACACACGTTATGCTTCCACGAAGTTGGTAGAATGAACCATTTAGCACAATTTATAGGCTTTATCTAATACTGTGAAGCAACAAAGAATGAAGCCCAAAGACTCCCTTGTGTCTCCTAAGACAAGGTCAGCTCTTTCATGTTGGAGAGGGTGAGGCTTGTCAATGGGGAGAAGACAGAATAGTTTTTTAAAAAAAAGAAAAACTGGTTCAGTCAGAGACAAGAAATCAGTGATATGGAGGTTCCCAGGCAGATCTCCTGGGCCGCTGATACTGGCTGTATTCTACACATGACCAATTGAGTGGGTGCAAGAGTTCCTCAGGTTGCAGAGAGATGTGAGCTGTCCTGTGTACCTACGTATTATCATACATCACTGCTAATTGGTGCATGAAGCCAGGTGAGCTCTCTGATCTCAAGGCATTGGGATGGTCTCAAGGACAGAGGCAGGAAGGGTCACGGTCCATGGTTCTTACCAGGAGGAAGCAGGGACTGACCAGCTTCCAGCATAGCCGCCAGTACAGGTTGGGTCTCTGCCCTGTCATCTGCTTGATGTCGTCGCTGAATTGCTTGACACCTAAGGGGGAAGAGATAGCCATGGGACTGGTCATGAAACTGGACATACATAGGTTCTTTTCGACAGTAGGGGCTTCATCCTTCAGACGTCATATTTCTGATTCTTCCCAGCCATGTGCTAATTGACTCTGTTGATGCTTCAAAGAGGGCTGTGGTCTGCAGGGTGAGGGACCAGCAATATTCCATTCCTACCCTGCTCATCTCCTTCTCCAGGTCCCACAGACTTTCTACCTCCTTCTGCAAGCAGTAATTTGCTCCTTGTCAAACACTATAGCAAAATACACCCATCATAAACTTACTGTTTTGAGGGTCAGCTCAGTGGCTCCATCACTACCTTCCATCTTAAGTTTTCTCATCTTCCCCACCAGGGACTCTGTCCATTCAACTCCAACTCCCGTCCCAACGCTTAGCATTCTATTCTGTTTCTAGGAACTTGGTCCCTTGAGGGATTGTATGTGTGTGTGTGTGTGTGTGTGTGTGTGTGTGTGTGTGATCACAGTACATGCTCTTTGGGGACTTGCTTGCTTCAGTTAGTATATGTGTCCCCGAGGCTCATCCATGTTGGAGAATGTACCAGAATCGTTTCCTTTCCAAAGGCTGAATTTTCCTCTCTCTCTCTCTCTCTCTCTCTCTCTCTCTCTCTCTCTCTCTCTCTGTGTGTGTGTGTGTGTATGTGGGAGCGAGTGTGTGTGTGTGCATGTGTGTGCAACTGTTTTTAATTTAAAGCTATCTCTACATATTTAATAACTGGCATTTCTACCAGCAGTTCACTTTAGAAATACCCTTCTTTCAGCATTATTATTCAGCCTTTCTTATTCAGGAATTGGTAAGAAGATCTTAACAGTGACTCCATTCACCAACTTCTGTCCTGGTCTCTGGCTCATGGAGTTGGGTGCCCAGCTAGGAGCTCAGCAGACCTCCTGGTCTCATCAGAAAGTCTGTCTAGAACTCTGATCAAGGTCTCCTAGAGCTCCAGTCATGCTCCAGGACACCATTAGACCCCACTGTGGCAAGAAGATGGAGTGGGTGGGAAAGAATGGGCCTCAGCCAAGTACTTGAGATCCCCAGGATCCTGAAGCTCCTAGGAGGCCCGTGATCAGCTCCAGACCCCCAGAGAGACTTAGCACATAAATGGCTAATGGGCTATTATCATAGGAAGACCAATGGTTCTAACTTATGCTCAATCAACTTGACTGGTCAGGGGTCTTGTCCAGAAGGTACATGTGAGATGCCCCTGTGGGAAGTGGCTATGATTTGACATCTCTCTCACAGACCAACTGAATTATATTACCAATGTCCCTACAATGACAGGTAGACCAGACTCCTCCCAGATGAAGCTGAAGCTATTCTGTACTTGTTGGCAGGGTTCTGGCTAGTTGGATGGGGTATTTACCTTTTGACAGCTTGTTGTAAAGGGTAGAGCATTCAATAAGACTTACTCTCCCACACAACACAGCCTCTCTGAACTCTGACCACAAAGTGGCTTCCCAGGTAGCCATTTGATTGTCCTTGATCCAACAGACAGACCCTGGCCATACATCCAGTGATGCCATAAGAGCCATGGCTTAAATTTTTGGCATCCAGTGGAGTTCAAATGCCTCTTTTCAAAGTGATATTGCCAGAAAGCAAGCCGGAAGGCATTAGCCCAGTTGACACACCGATGCCACAGTGCTGGTCTGACCACCAAGACTTACCGTAGAACCAGGCCACCCCAATGGCTTCAATGAGCACCCCAAAGAGGATGGATGTGCCAGCTGCGAAATGGTCCAGCAGTGTGAAGACGTAGATGCCACCCTGGAAGAGAAGGAGCTCCCAATGAACTCAGAGACAGCTACAGCAGCTGTCCATCAAAATACCTTCTCTGGAAGGTAACCCATCCTATGGGTTCACTCTGGAGATAAACACTATTTACCCCTATAAAGTTTGGTTTGAGTCATGGATTCACACAGCTTCTTAGGGAAACAACCTAAATAAATAAAATAAAGAAACCACTTCTCCCTGGCTTTCCCTTCCCAGGCTCCAAAAAACAAGGAACAGAGACACTCAAATGCCAATCCTGGAGGTATCTCTTGTGCAGAAGTGGCCCAAACACCACAGACAGGCCCCTGCCACTTCCCAGCCCCTTCCCGCCCCCAGAAAGGCAGCTTCAGTAGAAGGTGCATTTTGGATGTTGTCCAAGCACTGAATTCTCTCTGGGACCAGGTTCCAGATCTGTGTTTGCGCTGCCTACGACTACAGGGAAGTCGGTTTACTTGAGGGAGAGGATGAAGCTTCTTAGAAAGGCTGCAGTGTGTCTGTTCCCATGGCACCAGCTGTGCTGCCAGGCACCAGGGCAGAGACGACAGGAGCGGGCGAGTACATACATTGGTGACACAGAAGAGAGACAGCAGGAAGGTGGCCAGGACAATGCCAAGAGTGAAGAGCTCTCGGTGCCGATGCAGTAGCTGGAACTCGTCAACCAGCCCAGTGATCACAGACTCCATGCCCCCCATCTGCAGAACACAGAGAGTGGTGGTTGACATTACACTCCCAGTGCTTGACTTTACATTTAGTGAGTGTGTCCTCAGGGCGAAGGAAATGTGTAACAGTCTGGCGGTAAGACAAGAAGAGCCCTTGATGAGGTTTCCCTGCTGACACAGGCCTCAGAAAGATTCTATGGATGGCAGCCACAGTCACTTTGAAGCTGTCCAAAGCAAACTGTCCCTCCCTCAAGCATAGCCGCAGGCTTGGAATTGGATAGGTCCCCAAGTTACACCCCATTGGGGGTAGACAGGTAGGGCCTATGGTCTGTAAGCAATGCTCATGAGATGTGCCCTCTTGGATACAAGACACGAAACTCATGGGCTATCATCAGCTGTGTGTAAGATGAAGGTAGGGGCTGTGGTATGAGATCCATGTTCTCGGAAAGAGGAATTCCTGGTTCTGGCTTTCCAGGAAGCATACAATTGCTGATCTCTGTCAGGGTGGGTAAATGGCATGAGGCAGCCCAGAGCCACCAGCCAGTTCTGATATTAGGACTCAGTAAATGATCTTCAGCTGTTCATGGTGCTGGAGGCGTCTACTAGAGCTCATTGGCTCCAGCCCCTTTGAGGTTGGACACCAGGGGGCTGCAAAGAGTCCAAGGCCCAGCCAGGGTTACAGCCTCTATCCTAAGGGAGTCCAGAGGTCAGGGAAGGCCTGGTTGTGCAGGAGTGGCCAATCAATCACTCTGCCATTATGAGCCAACCCTGTGACTACCAGAGTTCTGCTCTGTGTGTGTTCAGACCCCGATACTGGATTAGGGAGGAAAAGGCTAAGTTTCATTTCAACCACTCCCACTCAGGTCCACAGAGGGTCTCCAGGGATCAGGGGAATGTTTGAACCTGACATGCTCTATACTAAGCACGTGAGGTTGGAGGAACTATGTGGGGTCATGCCAAGCCCCGTAGGGCAGCATCCCCAGGAACAGGCTGACTGTGAGGCACGGCTGTGGAGCCTTGGGGTATGCATTACTCACTGCACTGTCGATGCCCAGAGTGAGCAGCATGAGGAAGAAGACAGCAGCCCAGGCCGAGGACAGCGGGAGTGTGGCGATTGCTTCAGGGTAGATGATGAAGATCAGTCCAGGTCCTACAGGCAGAAACCCTCATCACTGCCACAAGCTTGCTCCTTGCTTGCCCCCTTGTCACACCTGGAGCTCACCACTGCCGCAGGTTTGCCTCCTGATTCCCTACTTGTCACAGGAGGTTTTCCATTGCCCCTCTCAGCTGAGCCAATGCCAGCGGTGCTCAGATCTCTTGGAACTCTCACTGCCCCCCACTGCTTTCTTTCTGTTTCTTCCCAGGATCCCTACTTCCTGAGAATTCAGCAGACCCTGTCTGGGGTGGCACAAGAGCACTTGGTCACCTGGGAGATCTGCTCAACCAGCTTGTACCCTTGTTCCCCAACTCACGCATGTCCACAGGAATGGGAGGAACAAAATCAAAACGTGGATCAGAGAAAAGACTTGGCAGATAATCCTGCCTCAGACAGTCTGAGATGTCTTTCTAGTTATCTTTCCTGCACAGATCACACATACCCCACATGTTCACTCACATTCATATTCTCTTTCTCTCTCTCTCTCTCTCTCTCTCTCTCTCTCTTTCTCACACACACACACACTAAAGTCTGGAGATTGAACTCAGGCCCTCGTGTTTTCATGAAAAACACTTTATAGACTGAGCCATCTTCCCAGTTCCCCACACTGAAAATTAATTGAAGATAGATTGATAATGAGGTATCAGGGCCTTCAAGAGGTATTGGGTTATGGAGGCACCACCCTCATGAAGAGATTGTTCTTCTATAGAGATTGAGTTCGGTCTCTCCGAAGTGGGTCTCTTGGGTCTGGAACATAGGTTATGCATGGTTGCTCTCATTTTACCTAACATTCTTTGTGTCTTGGCCATGTCCCTCTGGCCTTACTCCAGAGAGGACAGAGTGACATGTGATGGGGTGGGGGCTCACCATCTGTGGCCACATCTCCAATGGGCACGTTGTGCTTCTGTGCCATGTACCCCAGGAAGGAGAAGACGACGAAGCCAGAGGAGAAGCTTGTCAGGGAGTTAATAGATGTGGTGATGATTGCATCTCTGTAGGAACAAGACAGACTGTCTTGATACGGGTTAAGCTGCAGCCCTGGGAAGCCAGCTGTTATCACCCATCTCAGCGTCTAGGGAAGGGGATGGGCAGGCTCGTTTTGAGGGGAGCATAATAGAAGTACCTATAACTGGGAGAACCGGTCTGGTAATCCTGGGTTCTGTCGGGGCTCAGGGCAGTGGGAAAGATGGCTACTCCATGTCCCACTCACACAGCCATCGTGGCCCTGGACCACCTCACTAGAGTGCTGGAACCTGGGCATGCACAGGTTTGGGGGCTGTTAAAGTCTTCGTGCACACATGGGGGCTATAAAGTGGCTGGTCTTGTGAAGCTAATCTAAGCACTGATAATCAGAGATAGAGGCAAGCCTGGGACCACTGGGAAAGTCAGAGTCCTCCTCAGTGGTCAGTCTATACTGGAGGATTCAACACTTCACTGTAAAGTGCCTATCCAGGTCCACACCTAGGCTCCAGGTAGGACTTGCCTCAGGATTGTGGTCCACAGTCACTCTCTATTTCCTTCTATGCAACCTCCTTTGGTGACTTGGAACCATTTTTCTGTGTTTATTCTGTATTTTCAGTGCCCACTAAGTTCAAAGAGGACAGATTTCAGGATCAACTGATTCTGTTTTTAGGAGGAAATGTTATATTTTGGATGTAGAACCCCAACTTCCTGGTGGGGTTCCAGCACACAGTTGCAGGTGACTCAGGCTAAGTCTTAGCACCAGGGATGTCCTCCTACACCCAAGATCCCTCAGTTTAGGCTATGAGGGTTAGAGCCAAGTGCCTTAGGTGAAGTCTTAGGTAAAACTGAAACCCGAGCAAAGGAGAGAAAATCCACTGGGGGGGGGTGACTGGGAGAGTGAGGAGAGAAAAGCAAAAGGGAGGAAGGGGAGATGAAGGTGTATCTGTGTATCTGTAGAGGAAGGTCTTGCAACCTTGTCCTGGGAATCTGGCTCTTCTCTGACAGTGACACACATCTCCTCATGTCTCAATATCATCTTTGAAGTGAGATGCAAGATATTGTTGGAAGATGCCATGTGGAGCTGAGTATGGTGATCAATTCACACCTTTAATCTCAGTATTTGAAAGGCTAAGCGGGAGGCAGGGCCGTGACAAGGCCAGTGTGGGCTGCGTTGTAAATTTCAGGACAACTTAGGCTACAGCATAAAGCTCTGTCTCTGGAGAACAAACGAATAAAGCTAAGGAAAGGAAATCTGCATGGCTCAGAGATTTTGTGATTTTTCCTCCAGGAATGCTTCATTTCCAAGAGGCAGACCCCAGGATCAGCGACACGGACTAGGTTTTGCAGGCCATTTCCCAGCGATGGTAGCTCAGGGCTTACCTATAGCAGTTGTTGGTGAACTTATTGTAACTGGAGAAGGCAATCAGCACCCCAAAACCAATGCCCAGGGAGAAGCACACCTGGGTGGCAGCATCGATCCACACCTGTCGCAGCCAGAGATGGAAGAGCATGAGACATTAGAGAAAATTGTGGGGTGAGAGTTCTACCAGAGGGGAGAGTGGGAGTGGTCACTGGGCAGTCTCCCAAATGACCACACAAGCTTCACATGTACACCCCATGTTCACCTGCAGCTGAGGTGGGAAAAGATTCTCAGCAAATGGAACATACATGCTTGGTGCTGGTATAAACAAGCCTTCCTACATCCCTGGCCTGAAAGGGCATGGAAAAAGGGAGGTTGTGTTTTCGTCTATCAGCTTGTGGTTTCAGGGGGCACATGCAGAGCCCCAGGCCACCAGAGGTCAGACATGGATATCCAGCAATAGCAGGATCATTTCTCTGAGCATGAAAAGAAAGGTACAAGAACTGATAGTTGTACCAAAATGATGAAGTCAGGTGTGACCTACTTGCATGACCCTAAGGTCGTGCTAAGACCTAGAGAGCCTGGCTGAAGAGATCCTGTGTAGCCTTGGTGGGAAGGCTGAGGAAGAGCTTTGAAAGCCTTTCCCAGGGATTTACCACCTGAGTTATACGGGGATTGGACAGTACTGGAGTTGCTTCTGAGGGTCATGTGGCCCAGGGTAACTCTGGGGCCTCAGCACTGAGACAAGAATATCAGAATCCATCACTGGAATCTGCAGTGGCCGAGCTGAGGATGTCTGAAGTGGCTTCTTGAGCTCATGGAGCAGAGGCCCTGACTCTGCTGAGGAGAGTGGAGCCCGGCACTGTGGGAGCCCACAACAAGGGATCTGGCATCTCTGTTCTTTGGGTAGCTATGTCCAGAGCTTCAGGCTACCCCAGTGTTTGGGGACTGTGTGTTTGAAGACAACTGGCCACCCAGAATGTCAAAGTTGAAAGGTTGAAGAGATGTCTAGGGCCTCAGCATGGTGGAGAGGCCAAGTCCAGAGGGGTTTAGCAGATGCTCAGTCAGTAAAAGGGCCCTGCCTTCTCGTCCTGTGTGGCTCCTATATCACAGCAAGCTCACCCATTAAGGTGGTTCCGGTAGGAACAGCATCACCAAGAACTTCCTCTTTCCCACTTAGTCCCAGTGTTCACCCAGTTTATTTCCCCCAGAGATTTCCGTGTGCCATTCATCAGGTTCTCAACATGCTCTTTGCTTGGGTCACTGTCACACCTGACTCAGTGCCTCCCTGGACCCTCAGAGCCTGACTGACATTACCTGGAGCACTTTTCCTTTTTTTCTTTCCTGGTTGGTTATTTCTGTTTATATGTTTGATTATCTAGGTACCTATTCCTATCATGTATCATTCAATCATCTATCAGCAATCAGACCTATCAATATCTATCTAGCATCTACCTAGTGTCGACCTATCTTTCAACTAGTCAGTCTTACTATTTTACTATTATCTTAATTTTCTACAACCTCCTATTTTTGTAACTTGCCTTTTTTCCCCCTCAGCACCTCGCAGGCAATGCTTCTCTTTCTTTTTGTGGGCTGCATGCCTGCTTGCTGAGATGCTAATGGACTTCACTTTTTTTTTTCTCTTGAATTCTCAAACATGTCTTCCCTGACCCTGACTTTTCCAGGTTCCCACATGGATGATGTCCATAGCCCTCGTGGTTTCGGTTCCATGCCACAGGTCCCTTTTGCTTTCCTCTCCCTCTTCTTTCACTCTGTGGGACGTGTGTGCACGCTCTCAGGCCTTGCTTCCATCTTCACGTAGACCTGTGCTGACACCGTCATTCCCCCACTGAGTCTTTGCTACTCTGACCAACTCAGCCCATGCTTGCCGGTTTCTGCCTTAGGTTTGTATCACGCAGCCAACTCCCAAAGGATCTTGTGACTCAAACCCAGGATGGATCTACAGCCAGCCTTCCTTCCAGCCCTCCTGCCCTTCTCTATTAGAGACCCACATCTCCTGCCCTAGCCCCAGTCTATGCGCTTCCAGCAGGACCACTGCAGTGTATGAATTCCCTGTGTTGCTTTTGGGGTTTATCACCTGTCTCAGCTCAGCCCACACGACTTTTAACAACTCTTCAAGGAATTCTGTCACAACTGCCTCTCAAAAAACGGCTGCTTTCATTGCTCTCCAAAGATGGTGCTGACTTTTTCCTCTCTCAGGAACATCTATAGCCTGGAAAAGCACATCTTTCATGAGGCCTCCAAATCTTCTAAACTAGAATAACTCCATCCTTTACTTAAGAAACCTTCAGTGGCTCAGGAATTCAGACTTCCGAAGGTGGACTCTGGTTCATGGATCTCTGAGGCAGCTCTGCCCTGCAGAAAATTAATACAGAGCCAAAGACTGTGCTCTTGGTGACAACTTACACCTGGGACCAGTAGTAACACAAGTGGAGGAGGTGAGGGGCTTTTATTGTGTGCTGACTGGCACAGCCTTCCATCACTGTGGAGAGTCAGAAGGTCATTCCCCTGTCTCCTTTCTTTCCATTTTCTCCCTCCTCTACTAACCCTGCCTGTGAAGGAGACAGGTGAACAGGCCAGCCTGCATCTGCTGACCTTACAGGATAGGAAGGAATTGCTGCTGAGCCATAGATTGGGCCTCTGAACCATATGCAGGATCCCTGTTGCACAGCCCCACTGCCTTAAAGGACTGTCAACCACGATGGGGGCTGGACTCACAGATGCCTCACAGAGCCGGTAAAAGTCCACACTGAGGTATGCTTTGATGCCGTCCAGGGCTCCAGGGAGGGTGACTCCACGTAGTAGCAGGGCAGTGAGGACCACATAAGGCATGGTAGCTGTGATCCACACCACCTGGAAGAGAAGACAGTGTCTCCAAGGGGCCTAAGTCACACGCAGCGGGGCCTTGGTGGGAGCTTGCATTGATGCACCTAGGGTAGGAAGTGGGTTTGAGGCATGAAGGCAGGGAAGGAGATACCTGCTGTTGTTGGAGGGTTCCATGTGTTGGCACATGCATTATCACAGGTGTAATGGTCATTCTGGTAAAATTGTCATGGGTACCCATATATACATAACTGCCAGTATTTTCATCAGTAAGAAATAAGCTCATGCTGTACACACCATTGTGAATGATGTTCTTCTTGTCTTGTCCCAAGCACAATGTCTATCCTCGTTCACCATGAACATTGTGTTCACTGACCCCAGCAAATCATGGTCACATGTTCACTCTCATTCAACCATGGCCATACATCTCCTTCTTATCTAAACATGGCCATGGGTCCATGGCCAAACAAACCATGGCTATCTGTCTACTCTCAACTCACCCATAACAACCTATCTCCTTCCCACTCAACCATACCATGTTCCCACCCACCAAACATGACCTCGTGCCCAATTACCCAACCACAGCCTCATGTCTATATACCCAATCAAGGTCACAGGCTGACCTTGGTCTCAGAATCACTCATCCAACAATGACCACATGTTCTTATGCCAGTTATGGCCACACACCATCTACTGACCATGGCTATATGTTCATCCACCCACCCATGTCCATCCACCAACCATAGCCATATGCCACTCATTAATCATGGTCATATGTTAACCTACTCAACATGGACACATGGCCACTTACCAACCATGGCTATGCACACACCCATGTCTCATAGTAACCATGTAACATAGCCCCGTGTTACTCTAGACAACTCTAGCCGTGTGTCTACTCACCAACTGTAACCACATATCTACTCATAGACCACAGCCATATGTTAACCTACCCAACCACCCACCCATTGCCATGTATTCTCAGGTCCTGTTAGCAACCATCTCACCTTTCCGGAGGTCTTCACTCCCTTCCACAGGCTGAAGTAGAGCAAGACAATGACCAGCACCAGGCAGGCTGTAAGCTGCCACCGTGGAGGGCCCAGGTCATCAATACCACTGCTCTGGTGGAGGTGCAGCACGCCACGCCTGGAGGAAAGGCAACAGATAATTCTGGAGGGAGCACTTGTCTCCCAGAACTAGAATGGGGCAGCTGAGCTAGACCCCATCCTCCTTATCTTTGTCATATGGAAAGTCCCTGCTATGATCTGACTAGGAAATACCCCTTCTTGCTGTGAAAGACCCAAGACTGTCCTCTGAGTCACAGAACTGTCTTAAGATGGGCAGAGAAGCTGGATGTCTTGTCAGGAAACCTGCAGGAGGTCAGCAACACCCTGCTCTACCAACAGATACGATTTTTGGAGTTGGGAGGGAACAGGAAGTTTGGGTGTACAGAGAAATGGAGACCTCAGAAACCAGGAGAAGGTATTTAGTGAAGCCACCAGGCACTGCTATCTTGTGGCAGTCCCAGGATCCTTTGCAGGGGTAAAACCAGGAGAGTTCTGATCAGTAAAGCTGCTTATGCAGGTTCCTGGCCATTCTGTATTGACTTCTCTCGTCCTTACTCACACAGTTCCTGCCACTTTAAGGAGGCTCCCCAAGGAATGATCTGATGGGAAGCCATGCATGGCTGCACCCATCATTGAGGCAAGCCGTCCTAAAGAGATGTGTGGAAGGTACAACTTGCTTCCGATGAGTCTGGCCATGTAGAAGTGGTTGCATCACCTTCACAGACGGGACTTTGAACCCCAGCCTATATAATGGTGCTTCTGCCAAAGGAAGGGGAAGAACGCATAGTGAAAGGAGCCACCGCAGCCCAGGTTTGGTTGATTGTGGGTCAGAAGAGGTTTCTCAGGAAGTTAATGCCCAGTCTTAAAGTGGAACACTACTAGTCCCAACTTTCTGGATACTTTCACCAGAAACAGGAATCATGGCACCAAGTTGGAGAACTTTAATCTCCATAGTCTAGAAAGTACAACAGGGTGGTGCTAGCTGTTGCCATCAGGGACAGTACAGCATTGAAAATACAGCTCAACCCTCCTCTAATACTCCAGTAGTAGTTAGGGCCAGGATTTCCAAACGGTTCCCCATGTGTTGAGGGTACCACCATTCTCTTCTTAGTCTAAGTAGCTTGCTTAGCATCCCATCTACCGTGGATACTGTGCAAACTCTTAGCATGTGGGTGTGCAGTATGAATCACTTGAGCTAAGGGAGACAGGCCAGTGCACCTCCTTGGCAGTGAGGATTCTTAGGGCTCCTAACCTTGCCCTGGACTGCTGTCCAATGATCCTTGCTTTGCTCATTTCTTAGAATTTTTTTTACCAACAAGAGAAAAATTTCAGGATAACACCACCAAGTCTTATGCCTACACAGTTTGTGTTCTTCTCCATGCCCCAACTTCATTCCAGAGCCTTGTGTCTAACAGATACAGATCTTACCTAACCCTTAGGGAGGTGACCATTTACTCTCTTTGCGTGGAGGGTGTATAAAGAGCCAGAGAATGTTACACTGGAGACAAATTAAATAACCAACTCTATGCTGCCTTCCAGTCACTCACTTCAAATATGACACATTGAAGTTAAAAACAAAAGGATAAAAAGATGTATCAGGCAACCACTAATTATAAAAAGGGTCAGACATATTTGTAACTAGACACAGTGAACTAGAAACAAAAAGGAATGTGACCAAAAGGGACATTTCCTGATGATAAAGGGGCAAGATGAAGGATTAATATTTGTGAACACATGTACTTCAAGACACCCAATCACTAGTACCAGTGAGAGAGTCCAGTGTATAAAGATTCATGTTCCCAAGGAGAGAATGGATTTCTGCAAGTTGTCCTCTGATCTCCACATGCAGGCCGTGCTGTTGTAAATGGTCTCATGTGCATACACAACCACACACACACATGTACACACACACACACACAAATAAAATGCAATAAAGCAAAGACTCAAACTTCAGATGAAGTAATAAGCATTAGTGGTATAAAGAATGACAGGGAAAAATCACAATTATAATTGATATTCCAAATTCTATTCTCAGTAACTGATTCCATAAGTAGGCAGAAAGGTCACTAAATAAACTAAGACCTGGACAACAATCTTACCATGAATGACTGGTATCCACATAATGCTCTATGTTGCCTAGACTAGTCTCAAACTCCTGGGCTCAAGTGACCTCCCACCTAAGACCCCCAAGTTCTAAGACCATAAGCATGTACTATGTGACCTGGCAGGAATGCATGCAGAACATTAACAGACATAGACCATATCGTAGGCTGCAAAACACATTTCAGTATGTATTAAGATTAAATACTTATAAGCAAAACTTATAAAATATTGTCAAGACAATTAAATTAGAAACTGATAAAAGAAAGATATCTAGACAAGCCAAGTATTTCAAGGTTAAAAACAAGTGTCGTTTAAAGATGTTCCATTATTAAAGTAGAAATTACCATAGAGATGGGGTACTCTAAACTGAACTAAAATAAAAACACCAAACAGTGAGATGCAGCTACAGAAGTTCACGAGAGGCACATTTCTGGCTTTAAATCTAACTTTCTGCTGATTTTTGTTAGAAAACAGGTGGAAGTGGCACTGAGCATTTATGGAAGTCAGGAAGTCTTTTTTAAAATTGATCTTATGGGCTGGAGAGATGGCTCAGAGGTTGAGAGCACTGCCTGCTCTTCCAAAGGTCCTGAGTTCAATTCCCAGCAACCACATGGTGGCTCACAACCATCTGTAGTGAGGTCTGGTGCCCTCTTCTGGCCTGCAGGCATACACGCAAAACAGAATATTGTATACATAATAAATAAATAAATAAATAAATAAATAAATAAACATTTTAAAAAAAAATAAAATTGATCTTATTGAGCTATAAATTTTTCTCCACTCCCCTTCCTTCCTCTCTCCCCCCTTCTACCCTCTCCCGAGGTCCCTACACTCCTAATTTACTCAGGAGATCTTGTCTTTTTCTAAGAAGTCGGGAAGTCTTAAGTGGCTATAGTTACGTGGGTTTGTTGGGACGCTCCACAGACTATACACATTTCCCTGGTCTATGCTTCATATCTATTGAGTATATTTGTGATTTCTTATCACAACCTTGAGTGTGACAGTGCCCAGCTTAGTCTCTTCTATGAGCCTATGCATGCCTACTAAGAATGGACACTGGAGAAATGGTAGGACAGAGGAATAAAGGGACGGACATGCAGGGAGGAAATATGCAAGAGGGCTCATGTCTGAAATCCCAGCACCAGGAGGTGGAGGCATAGGATCAGGTAGTGTGGGCTGCACAGTAAGACTCTGACTTTAAATAAATAATAGAAAGTAGTAAGGGTGGTTGGGGGTGTGTCTTAGCAAGGGTTTCCATTGCTGTGATGAAACACCATAGCCAAAGCAAAATGGGGAAGAAAGAAAGGGTTATTTGGCTGACTCTTCCACATCACTGAGGGGAGTCAGGGCTGAAACTCAAGTGAGGCATGAACCTAGAGGCAGGAACGTGGAGGCAGGAACGTGGAGGCAGAGTGCCATCCAGAGCGCTGCTTACTGGCTCACTCTCCAAGGCTCGCTCAACCTGACTTTATAGAACCCAGGACCATCAGCCCAGACATGGCACCATCCACCATGGACTTGGGCTCCGCCATCAATCACTACTTAAGAAAATGTCCTACCAGCTTGCCTACAGTCCCACTTTATGGAAGCATTTTCTTAACTGAGGTTCCCTCCCTTCAAATGACTTTAGCTCGCATCAAGTTGGCATGAAACTATCCAGCATAGAGGTAATTTGGGGGCAGATTCCTTGTCTAGCATGTACAAGGGCCCAGGTTCAAGACCAAGAACATTAAAAACACAAAGAGACAAATGGGTTTAAGAGTCACTAAAAGTAACTTTGTGAGTTAGGTAGTTGACACTCTCCAGACTCCACTTAGGGAACACATCCTTTCACCTCTCTCCAGAAGTAGTTTCTGGGATAGCAGACCGGGTCACGGGCCTCCTGTGCTCAGTCTCCCTAGTATCCCTTTTCATTGTTGGCTGTGGTGGATAATGTCTGACCAAGCTGGCTTCCAGCACAGGAACCAGTTCTGCATACAGGACTGTCCACGTCTGGAGAGCATAGGAGAGCATACCCCCTCCTAGACAGCTGCACTATCCCTGTGGAGTCAGAGCCTGGGGGTGGCATGACCAGCGTTTGGTGCCCCATCAAGGCCTGGCTGCCACTCTCCTGGTGCAACATACATGCTTGGTGCTACTTTCACACCTGTTCCTGCCTGCATCTTAGCTGTCAAGCGTGTGATGTAGCATCACACATGTTCAGAAGGTTAGACTGCTACCTATGAACGCCCGTGTTAGAGGACACAGCTTTCCTGTCAACAGTTAGCTTGGTCTTCGCACACTTCATAAGGCAATGTACTCTCTCTTGTCCTCAGCTCTGTCCTAGTCTTTCCTTCAGTAATATCTCAGTATCCGGCCAGGGCTACAGGCCTTCACAGAGGACAGGGCTGGACACCTCTGCTCTGTGGCCTCCCTCTCCGGAATTCCACAGTCTGATTTTTTTAAAGATAAAATTCTTTCCTCCATCATTCCTTGTCAAAAGTCCCTAGACTCATTTTTACTTTCCCTCTAATTTTCTTATCTGGAAAATCACAGGAAGGAATCGTTGCCCCCACATCTTCCAAGCAGAAAACAGGCAGTTCTCCAGGCCCCTTACCTGTTCTGACGTCTCTGCTCTTTCCAAGTGTGCTAAACCACATCTCAACCCATCTGGCAGTCGTGAAAGACACATGAGCTCACAAACACAGTCACTCTTTCTTTGTGTTACAAGAGCTCGGCTCTCGGCTTCCTTCAGTGTGAACCCTAACTCTGCAGCTGGTGTCCTCCGGCACTGGTTCCCTCACAGCCCTGCTGGTCCCACTACTTTGGTTCGATGTTGGGAGCAGTGAACCCCCAGATCCTGAATTTCTTGTAATCCCTTGATCTGAGTGCCTACAGCTGCTCTGAGCATGAGACTTTCAGGAGCTCCTGATGGCAGGAGAGTGGTTTCTGGTGGGTTTGGCTGGGGCGTGGCTATCTCTATATAATCTGCCCCTGAACACAATAAAGGGGCATTTTTGGAGAATTCAAGGATGGCCCGTGTTGCTGTCTGTCTGTGTGTGTTTGTGTATTTTAACCCCCAGCCCCCTTGCCCGAAGCTTGCGAACTGGGTGCCAGCGCACAGAGTCTTAGATTTTAGCTGTTTCAGGACTGCGAGGGCTTCCTTGTGGCTCTTGTTAATGAGTGAGTCTGAGCCCCTTTCTCTACATTCTGACCTGTTGCGAGCAGTGAGACCCAAGATCCTGAATTTCTTGTAATCCCCTGATCTGAGTGCCTACAGCTGCTCTGAGCACGAGACCTTCAGGAGTTCCTGATGGCAGGAGAGTGGTTTCTGATGGGTTTGGCTGGGACATGGCTATCTCTATATAATCTGCCCTTGATTCTTGGGGAATTCAAGGATGACCCATGTCGCTGTCTCTCTGTCTGTGTGTGTCTGTGTATTTTAACCTCCAGCCCCCTTGCCTGAAGCTCGCGAACTGGGTGCCAGAGCACAGAGCTCAGACACGGGGGTGCGGTGCGCGGCAGTTGGATACTGTTCATATGGATGGGAACACACAAGCATTTGTAAGGTTGGGGACTTTTTCTCCTTAGACTACTCTGTAAGGGAGCTATAATATTTGTGCTAAAATCTACTTTGGCAGATGGCAGAAGTATTCTGTGAGCAAAGCCGTCCTTTCTTGTTTGCTTGCCATTGGGGAAAACTATCTAAACATTCAGGGCGGTGCTTCCGTTCACTCACCTCCCCCGAGCCTCGGCCTCTAGTGAGCACAGCTTTTAACACTTTAAAGGTGGAACCCTTTGTTTTGGCAAGCGAACCTACTTTCAGTTAGAGCAGAAATGATTTCATTTCTATTGGCCAAGGCCCCTTCTGTTAAGCTTTTGATTCTCCTCTGTAGTCCACACCTTGAACTTGCAATCCTCCTGCCTCAACCTGTTGAGTGTTAAGTTTATAGGCACCGACCTAGCTACAGCTTCTGTTAAGTGGTAAGTGAACTCTTAGACATGTTTTAACACATAAGTAATAAGGCATGTTCAAATATGCCAGTGAGAGCTCAGTCCTACAAAGAGCATTAGTGTCCATGGGAAAACCCTGACCTTGACAATGATTGCTCCAAATGCCCTTTGCTTACATTTGCCACAGAAGCCACACCTCAGCAGACCCTGCCTCAGTCAGAGTGGGCCAGCCAGCACCAGCAGTGTCCCAAGAGAGGCAGACTCCGCCACACGTCTGTAAATGTATATCTTCATAGCCACCATCTTGAAAATCATACAGGGTAAACCATTGCCTTTGATGGTGTGGCTCTTTCTGTTGAGCATTCACATTCATACACACACATATGTGTGCATACGTATACACATAAGTACACAGGTGCAGTGATGTGCATACACATATGAGTGAATGAACACATGCCTAGATTTCAAGAAAGGTCAATAGTGATAAAGAAGGGTATAGAAGAGCTAACAGGAGCCAGAAAGACTCAGGAAAACAAACTACAGGTAGACTATGAAAGGCAGGTCTAGCAAGGAGAAGGTCTGGCAAGGAGACAAAAAACCAGGAAGGCTTGCTAGAGATGAGAATGTACCAGGGTTGGGAGGAAGGCTAGCACCATGCATGGAAAAGGAATACAGGGAAGCAAGTAAAGAAAATTTATAAAAGAGAAAGCATCATGGCAAGAGGATAGCCCTTGCATCCTGTCAGCAGCTTGGCTATGAAGCTGAGGCACCCAGACAGCGATGCTCAGAGAGGTCCCCTTCTGGAGCTAACAGAGAACTTGCTTGCCTGTGTCCTTTGCCATGGAAGTCCAAAGCCAGGGTTTCCCTTCCTTCTAGGGGGGTGATGCAGTGTCTTGGGCAGTTTCCTCTCACCTCACTATAGAGGAAGAATGGAACAAGGGGACAACAGTCCAGGGTCCATCCCTCCTGAGGCTCACGTCAGTATAGTTTGGATAAGATTGTATAAGACCATCCCTTGCAATTCAGAAATATATCGCATAAGGAACAGGACTCACCAGCTCTGAGCAAGGGAAGGGACTGTTTCAGCGCAGTTTTGAGAACAACAAGGTATGTGTGGGTGGCATCCTCGGTGCTGTTCCTGCATTCCCAGATCTGCCAACCCTCCCAATCTCCAGGCCAGCAGGAAGAACGGACCACTCACTTACTCAAAGTACTCAGCAGCAGGTGTGGTCCCGAAGGTGTCGTTGAGGCCCAGGCCATCACTAGAGTTGCTGGCGTGGGCGTCGGAGCAGTTGGGGCTGTTCCAGGTGTTGTTGCAGTGGATCCACGGGAGGTCCATGGTGAAGGAGGAGAAGAAGTAGTGCAGAGCCCACGCGATGATGACGTTGTAGAAGAAGCCCACGTAGAAAGAAATGAGGATGACCGTGAAGCCCACACCTGGGGGATGACAGTGGAGCCGCCGTCAGCACGATCGATGCCCCTTCACACCATCTACTCACTCTCAGTCGGTGCACTGACATCCACAACACCTTAACACACATGGGAAGGAGGTCTACCAGACTCTAATCTGTGACTAAAGAAAAAGGATTGCCAGACCCTATAAACATTCAGGTAGCCCTAACCGTCAGCCATAGATACACTAGGTTATCCAATGTCACCCAAAGCCATACAGAATTAAGGTCATTCATTTGCACCACAGTCATTCAAGAAGCAGCCAGGGTCATTCAGGCCCATTTTGAGCTATCTGCAGCTTCTCTGGATCTCTCAGTCAGTCAAGCATAGCTACTAGACCCACACCAAACCTTTAGAACCAACCACAGCCATCAGAACCTTCAGAAACACCCATGCTAACAGAGCCATCAAAGCACCTAGAGTCACCCAGAAATGCTCAATGTTGCCCAGAACCACCATGAATCATTAAAAGACAGCTAGGACCCTTTATGGCCATCCACAAGAACCCAGATACATTCAAAGTCAAAGGGTAAACAAAACTTCCCACGATCATCCAGGGAAATCTAGGGCCACCCAGAATCATATAGGCCATCCACAGTCATTTATATCCATCCATACCTGTTAGGGTCACCCAGAATCTCTTAAGACATAGCCATTAACAACTACTTATGCACTTTCTCCAAGACCATCAAGGACAAACAGTTACATATTCCTCTCTAGGGCTGGGATTAAAGGCATGCACCACCTGATTTCTATGCCAACTAGTGTGGCTACTGGGATTAAATGTGAGTGTCATTGTGGCTACTGGGATTAAAGGTGTGTGTTACCATAACCTGGTCTATAAGGCTGAGCAGTGGGACTGTTTTACTTTCAGATCTTCAGGCAGTCTTTATTAAAATACAGTTGAAAAGCCACTACGGGCCTTCACCCTGGGCTTCACAGTGTCTCACTTTGGACTTCACTGTCCCTCACCTTGGGTTTCGCATTCTGTTCTTACCTTGGACTATTTGGCTATCTGGGTTTTGAAGCAGACCCACTCCCCAGGTTGGAACACAGACTGGCAGGAGGCAGGAGAATCCAACTTCTCCTGAGGAACTGCTCAACCTTTGATTCCCTAGTTGTCCACGTTTTAACTGTCATCTTCACTTTCTACACGGGACTGCCATTGGGCCAGTGAAAATGCAGATAATTTTCTCAACTAGACTTTTAAAAGATAGAGAAGGAAAGAGAAGGCATGTGATCTAAGGAGGGTAGGAAAGCCTCTCCAGGGATTGTAGCTGGTGTGATATTGTGCGTGCGTGTGTGTGGAGAGAGGGAGAGAGGGAGAGAGGGAGAGGGAGAGAGAGGGAGAGAGAGGGAGAGAGAGGGAGAGAGAGGGAGAGAGGGAGAGAGAGGGAGAGAGAGGGAGAGAGAGGGAGAGAGAGGGAGAGAGAGGGAGAGAGAGAGAGAGAGAGAGAGAGAGAGAGAGAGAGAGCGCATCCACGATTACACAGATGCCAAAGTGTGGGCGCCCACATGTGACTCAGATTTCATCTGGAGTCACTGACTTAAGTCATTCGAGTTCAGGATTGCCTGCTCTGCTTTTTCCAGTAACCTCGAGGGCTGTGAGTAATGTCTGTGTTAGCCCATAGAAAGCATTTTTGCCCAGATGAAAGAGCACATTTTGTATTAAGATTTGGGCTGGTATGTGCCAGCCGGAGGCACTCCTTGTCAGAGATTAGAAGTTGCTTAGCTGAATAAGATAATGCACCTGCTTGAGCTTCCTCCCAAGGACAGCACAGGGAGGTGGTCAGCTGGCTGTACAGCTGCCTTTTGCCTGTAATTAGTATATATGCTGGCTGAGAAGTAAACTCGGAGCTGTTTGGTATTTACCCTCAGTCCTCCCGGTCTATCCTATGTTTCTGTCTTCATGTTTCAATCTGCCACTTCTTATAACCTCACGCCCCCTCCGAGGTACCACTTGCTGATTTCTGTTGGAGTGGGCTCTGATACCAAAGCTGGAAGTTGGCTTCTCTGAGTGTAGCTTCCCCAGCCTAAGTTAGGGGTTGAAAAGAACATCTCCGCCTGAGATCCCACACCTGGGGTTCATAGGCTCGTCCCACAACCTTGCTCTGCTCCGGCGTGGCCCTCCTGCAGACTTGTCTTTAGAATGGTATAAAAGCCAGCCTAGGGAGCAGGGATCACTGAGTTCTGCTCACTACCCACCTTCTAGAAGCTCTCTCACGCACCTAGTTACACAGCCATGGTCTTTCCTCTGTAAAGCTATTGGTATCAATGCTTGCTCAATCTCACTGTGTTCCAAGGAAGTTGCTAGCATTGCATAATACCTTGGTGCTCTTCAAAATAGTTTACTGAGGCTTTGAATAAAAGTAAAAATAATTCCTGTAGTGGTTTTATGGGGGAACTTTTTTGAGACAGCATTTTATGCTGCCTGAGTTGTCCTAGAACTTGCAATCCTCCTGCCTTTGGTTACTTAGTGCTGGGATTGTAGCAGTACGCCATTACTAATACCCAGAGACTGATGGAGAACTTTGTGCTCTGAGTAGGTCCCTGTGTGAGCTAAGTAGCTTTCCTCTGCTGACCACAGTCCTGGGTACTGAATCTGCCCTCTTTCCTGGTTTCCTGTTGATCTTTCAGTCCTGTGATTCCCAATGAGGACTGGGGCACAGGACTGATTGTGTCCTGTGGCTTTCTCCACAATCAAGGGGCATGAGACTTGGGAACAAAGTGCAGCAGGTCAAATTCTGGCATCACTCGAGTTTGCATGACCACACGTCGCCAACAACCCTTGGCGTGTCCTCTTTACAAGAATAGGCAGGCTGAGTCATTTATCAGCTGCCACTAGAATGACAGATTCGACTGGAGCTCATTCCGGCTACCACTACAGCTCCAGGAGTAGTGTCTACTCCCTGGGTCCCATTAGCACTGCTAGATAGAGCCTAGGAGAACATGAGCCATTCATTTTCATCTGTAGCTCTTAAGACTGAGTCCACTGGCCTTGACCCACTAAGTAAGTGGATAATGAAACTCTTTAACACAAGAATCATCTCTTAGAGTAACAGGGTTCCCGGGTGCCATCAGGATCCAATGACAGTGTCAGACAGTCCCATGCAATTCTTCTAAATGCTGACTCCTACATTTTGATCAAAATGGGGAGCATCCAGTGCCAGTGTGTGTCCCCAGAGGGTCTGTCTGGTTCTAAAGTTGTGCATGGACGTAGGTTTTGGCGAGGTCCCTCTTTACAGAGTTTACAAGGAATCATTCTAGCCTAGGGAAAATGCTACCCAACACTTAAAAGATGTAAATCCAAAACCCAGCAGCCTACCGACTCTGCCCAGCAGCCTCTGCCCTTCACATTCCCGCTGTACAAGAGCAGCAAGTCCATGAAGGGTGTGGCTTGAACAGCTGTGGGAGGCCCGTTATTGCTTCTACTCAGAGCAATGGTTTCTGGTCTTGGGTGTCAAACACCAGCCTACAGATACTGCACCGGGGACTGGGGCTCTGATTCCTCTCATGCAGTCACTGCTCAAATACTTCTGAGAAAACCCAATGCTACTTTTTCAAGAGTCATTTTCATGGCAAGTGACAACTATTGGAGGGGAACCTCACTGGGTCTTTTCCCCAAAACTCTTGAAGTCAAAAAAAAAAAAAACAAAAAACAAAAAAAAAACAACCTCTTGAAGTCTCCTAGAACTCCATCTCCTTGGGATGATATTATTGAGTTAGACAAGGGTGGTCCAAAGCTGGCTGGTGATAAACAGGTCTGTGAAGAACCCAGGGTTTGCTTTTAACACATGGAGAAGCCGTTAGCCTTCTCACTGTCAGTATCTCCCATGCAGAAGGCACAGTGTTCTCTACCTGGGATCTCCTGGGATCAAGGAAGGTGACATTTGGGGAGTGTCAACCATGGGGCAGGCTGCCTGGTTCAGTATAAAGTACATCTGCCTCATAGTGTTGACATCTTGTATAAACACTCTTTGACCTCACTGTGCTATATAGATGATTGATAGATACATGGTTAAGAAGTGCATGACTGGTAGGTAGATTGATAGATGAATAGATGATTGGTAGGTGAACAGATAGACATGTATATAGATAGTAGATAGGTAAGTGAGTGATGCATATAGATGGCAGGTGATGGGTGATCAGATAGATGATGGATCAATAAATAGGCAGATAGATGATAGACGACAAAGGTGCTTGCTGAATGACCACAGATAGGTAAGTAGATGAAAGATGACAGATAAATAGGTTTTTCAAACCTTACCATTTCACTACCCTGACAAGTTTACCACCACTTAGCTGTAGAGCAGCCTGTCCTGGGAGCAAGAGAATGCTTTAGAAGATTCCTGGTCATTACGGTCTTTAAGGTAGGATCCACATTAGAAGAGCATGTGCCGATGTCCAGAGTTTAAGAGAGCAGAACCTGTACACAACATCATCACCTTGTTCTGCAGCCCCCAGAGACATGGCCACGCCTCGTGGGGGCCAAGTTCCTCCACATTACCTTTCAGGATAGGGCAGATCTTCCAGACGCCAGCAGCTCCTTCTCTGTTGAACTGCCCAAGGGCCAGCTCCATGTAGAAGAGGGGCATCCCGGCAATAACCATGAAGAGCAGGTAGGGTACCAGGAAGGCACCTGTGCACAGGACAGCAACCTCAGTTTGGGGCCACAGAAGGGGCTACTTTCATTATCTGCATGTGGGCCTTGATGTTGTGCTTTTAAGTATGTTCTTGTCACCCAGCATCCTGTCTAGTGGGGGTTCCTGTTCAGCTACCACCCGAGGGGATATGTCGGAAGGGTGGTAAACCATGCCTCCTTTCCTGTCTCAGCTGCTGTCAGTGTTGAACGTGTTCCCTTCGATGCCTCTGATTGTCCACCCACCCCACATTCTGAACTCAGCCAGAGGCAAGGCAGTCAAGGCCTGGAGCCACTTCTCAGCATTGTTCCTAGCGCTGTCTGCCTCTTCATACCCCACTTTGTCCCTTGAGAGTTGTGGTCCTGGAATCTGTGACCTAATCCCGGCATTTAGAGCCTGCTTCGCTGGAGACTTGGGCTGAGTTTCCGGGAGCCAGAGGGCAGGGCTTGATCTGCTTAAACTGTACATTCTAATCCACAAAGGCTGAACCCCACTGGAGTCCTCTGCTCCCTTCAATCTGAGCTTGAGTGAGGCAGAGTTTGGCTACAGCTTTCCCCCAAAAGTCTTGATGAGGAAGATGGGAGTCTCCTTGTCAGTCTGGGTCACTTACTGGAGCTGCTGAGCCTGGTTCTCTCACCTTCAGGAGCACATAATTAAGCAATTTGCTCATGGATTTGCCTGAGCCCGCCCTTCCGGCCTTCCGCCCTTCCACCCTTCCTTCTGCCCTTCCACCCTTCCTCCCTTCCTTCCTTCCTTCCTTCCTTCCTTTCCTTCCTTTCCTTCCTTCTGCCCTTCCTTCCTTCCTTCCTTCTGCCCTTCCTTCCTTCCTTCCTTCTGCCCTTCCTTCCTTCCTTCTGCCCTTCCTTCCTTCTGCCCTTCCTTCCGCCCTTCCTTCCTAAAGCAATTCTTCATATCCTGTAGCCAGCCAGGGAAACCCAGCCATGGAAATAGAGATCTCCAGGCTCAACTTGAATTTCTCTGGTAACCTTGTTCTTCCTTTTAGCTCCACTGCACAGCTATGACTCTATAGCGGGGATAAGAAAGTGGGCTTTCTTATGTGAGCCCGGCTTGGTAGTATAGACCCATAATCCCAGCTCTCCAGAGGCAAAAGGCAGGAAGACCATAAGTTCGAGACCTACTGATGCAGAGTAAGTTCAAGAATTGCCTAGGCAGCAGTGAAATCCTAACTCAAATTGAAAAAAAAAATAATCAAGAGGGTTATGCATGTGACTCAGTGGTCGAGTGTTCCCAGCATGCAAAAGTCTCTGGGTTCAATCCCCATAACTGTATTTAAAGAAAGAAAGGGAGAACAGAAGAGAGAGAGAGAGAGAGAGAGAGAGAGAGAGAGAAGAAGAAGAAGGAGGAGGAGGAGGAGGAGGAGGAGGAGGAGGAGGAGAGAGGAGGAGAGGAGAGGAGAGGAGAGGAGAGGAGAGGAGAGAGGAGAGGAGAGGAGAGGAGAGGAGAGGAGAGGAGGGTATATTTCAGTTCAGGGGCATCTTCTGCCCTTCTAAGTTTAACTTCAAATTTTATGAATTCAACTCTATAAGCACTGCTGAAGTTGTCTTAAAACGTTCTTCTTTTGGTCTTTTAGGATTTTCTTTCCAAAGTGAAAATCCTAGCAGACATAGAAGTCAGGACCTGGTGCCTCCACCCACTCCCTTCTCCTCTTTGCTCTCTGGGCTCCACATGCCTTGGCTGTCAGATTTTCTGAGCTCTCCAGCCTGGGAAGACTGAAAAGAGCTGCAGCTGGTGCAGCAGTTTCACCATCCTACAGGAGGGACAGGATTGTCTCACTGACAGCATTTTCTATGTGTACAGGAGCATATGAGCCTTGGAGACCAGGCACAACCCTCGGGCATCGTTCCTCAGGAGCGGCTCACCTTGGTTTTTGAGACAGTGTCTGTAACTGAGCTGATGCTCTCTGCATAGACTAGACTGACACTAGTTGGCTGTCCATCTCTGGGGTTCTCCTGTCTCCTAGTGCTAAGTAGCATTACAAATGTGTGACACCATGCCCTGCTTTTTTTTAATTTGGGTTCTGGAGATCAAGCTCAAAGTCTTCATGCTTGAACAGAAAGCACATTGCTGACTTAGTTATCCCTTCAGCTTTCACTGTGAGCATTTCTTGAGACCACAGCCCACACGATACCATGGCTTCCATTGCCTCCACTGCACTTCCCACACTACCTGCCACGGCCCCACCCTTATAAGGCACCGGAATCCAGGCATCACTCACCTCCACCATTTTTGTAGCACAGGTAGGGAAACCGCCAGACATTGGCGAGGTCCACAGCGAAGCCGATGACTGACAGCAGGAAATCAATTTTCTTGCTCCAGGTCTCCCGCTCCTGAGCCTCCACTGGTGTCTGTGGTGGGTTGATGAGGGTGGAGTTGGTCAGCTGCACTCCATTCTGCTCCTTGACGAGGATGAGTTCCACGTCTCTGGGGCCCATGGCATTGGACTCTTTAGCCGGGGCCACCACAGAGGACATTGGTCCCACGGAGCATTTGCTCTTACTCATGGGTAGATTGGAGCCCAAGGAACTCTGCTTCTTTCTTCTTAGCCTTCAGTCAATATAAAGAAACACACAGCAACACACAGGTTCAGCAGCCATACCTACAGGGTACCTGGGTGGAGCCCAGAGACATGAGGTTGTCCAAGCATGTGAGATGCCATAGCCAAGATGAAGGACAGCTGGGGGATGTTCACAGAGATGGAAGAGAGTGACCGTGGAGACCAGACACACCTCTACCCACCCCTATGGGTCCCTTTCCCACCAAACCCCTCATTCCTATTAGTGCAGGCTTGTGTGGCTTCTAATTTGCTTCCTAATAACAATCCCAGGTGCTGCATGCATTGCTTATCCACATTCCCAGGGGGCAATTTCACACCTTGCCAATAGCATTCCACTCACTTCTGCCTTTGTCAGGGTGCGTAGCTTTCTTTATACTTAGTAATACAAACAAAAAGCAAAATGAATATAACCAAAATCAGCCACAGTAACTGAAAGTTTAAAACAAGTAGTCATCGGTTTCCCCAAGGAGAGTCTATACAAAACCTCCATGTCTGACGGTGACCGTGGCTTTCCAGGCCTTTGAGCTGACCGGGAGTTACCAGAATGTCACCAGGGGAGGGATCAGTCCACAGTAGAATGCTACACTAGCTGTGCTCCTAGAGAAAGCCTCTTCTGTGCTTCTGCAGAGCCACGGCCATGGCACTCATGCCCGGTGACAGCCTGTTTCCACTGAGCCCAGACAAGCACACTGATGGAAGCCCGGCATCTGGGTGGCTGCTCTAATGGGGTGACTTTCCTCTGCATCCCTAAACAAAAACTCCTGACAGAAGTTATTTTATGCACCACTTCTCTGTGGCCTCTTTACCCCGGTGACAACCCTGAATGCAAATTCCTCACACGTGTTAGAAATGGGCTAACGGGTTTGCAGCTGCTAGGGAGCAGGTAGGAGCCAGAGAAGGCTGTGAGAAGGCAGGAAGCATAGCAAAGGACCTGGTCCCAGACTCTGCTCCCAGCTCTGTTATAGGTACAGAGGACCTGTCTGCCCCACCCTACTCCTCAACTCATGGTTCAGAGGCAAGGTTTGGGCACAGACAGCAAATGAGTCCTGGGAAAAACATCTTTCTTCACCAGCTGGAGCGGGAAACAGGTGGCTCATAAGCCAAGGTTCCCACAACACGAGTTCAGCCCCTGCTTACAGAAAAGACAATTGAGAAGGGGGAGGGTGGGGAGAGAGGGGAGATGGAGCTTTGGCAAGGGGTGAAAACAACCCCAAGGGGTGTGCTTCTTTCAGACCCCAGCCATCCAAGTGGAGTCAATCCACCACCGAGGGTCCGCGATGCCCAGCCTCAGCCATAGACAGCCATGCCCCCCCCCCCCCCCCCCGGGAAGTAAGAGCAACCTCCATTTGCAGGTCTTGAGCTTGGACTCTGTGGAACCCTACACTCTGAGGACAGGCGCTGAGAACACACCCCTTAGTTTTATGTGGAAGGAGCTGCGCTCCAAAGCCCTGGCTGTTGGCGACTTGGACCCAGAACCCGGATAGCTCTGGTTTTTGCACCTCATTCCATGGCACAGCCATCCAGGGGCAGAGTGGGGTTCCTGCCTGTCGCTCCATAGACTAGCCGTCCAGGTTCAGAGTGGGACAGGGGATGCCACTGCCAAGGATGCGCAAGGAGCAACCCTGGTCCTTACCTGCCTCCTGCGCTGGCCTTCAGCTCTGAGGTCCTGTAAGTCTCCAGTCCAGCTTCACAGCTCTAGCGGGTCTCAGCCTCAACCTCTTATCCAGTCGCGGGGTCGGTCCGCCTAGCCCCGCCCGCCGTCGGGGGCGCCCGCTGGCACTGGCTCCGCCTCCGTCCCGCCCTGGGTGGGCGGAGGACAGGCTAAACAGCTCCTGCATCTCTTGGGTACTAGGATGGCTGCAGGGTGCCAGAGGCCACTGATCCTGGGCAGGCCAGGACCTTGGCCGGTATCTTGCGCGACCAGAAAGCGTTGGCCACGTGGGATCAAGGCATCTAGGCTGGACGCGTTGCGGACCAGACGGACAGTTGGCTTCCAGGAGGAAGCAGTCCAGGTCTCTCGTCCCCTGCTTGCGCTCCTCGGGGTTGCTCTGCCAGCGCTGCAAGGGGCTCCCAGGCAACTAGCTCCAGCAAGGCCACGAGGAGCAGAGGAGCAAATTCCCCCCTCCCCCGGAAGAGAGCGAAGTGGCCAATGCGTGGGGACCTGCACGGAGTTCCCAAGGCTCACCCAGGTCTCCCCACTTCTCCTTTCGATGCTGTTTGATTACCCCACCCTGCTCCCGTGGTCCTGAGCAACCTGCTGACAAGATTCTCCAACTCCAGCTCCTCGGGGGCAAAGCAAGTGAAACACGCCTTACGGTCCTGTGCTGGTGGCCAATTTGTGTTCCTAGTCAGATCACAGCGTATTCTACCCCTGCCCTGGCCAGTTTGCTCAGGTATTCTTCTTCCTCATTCCATGAGCTCTGACCTTAGGATCCAAAGTACCAATATCCTCCAATCCATCCTGATTCTCCTCTACCACCTTACTCAGGTACCATGGCCATAAGAGGGTTTTTGTAGTGTGTAACTATTCCCAGCCCCACCTCGGTGCTCTAGCTTGGTTCCGGGAGCCTCGCCTGAACTTATTTTTACAGGAATCTAAGCCATCTGATTCAAGCCACGAGGGTTCCTCCAGTCAGCCTACTTATGAAACCAGTTTACCTGGAGCGACCTATAATATAGTTTGTGTGGTCAATATCCTGCTCCGGGGCCCAAAGGACTAGGAACTGGATTTCTCCTGCCCAGATATATGGCGTGTGGACACCGAGGGAGGTCCAGGACTCCCTAGGGTTAGCAGCAGTGTGAGCCCTTCCTCAGAACCCAAGTCCAGTTTTCCTTTCTGCCTCCCTTCCCTTCACTCTTTCTTACACCCTTCTCTTCCCTGCACTTCTCTCTTCCTTCCCATTTCTGTTTCCATCCAGAGTAGCTGAGAGCTTTGCCCAGAACATAGGGGTTTTTGAAGGAGTGTCGCATCTGCAGGCCCCACGGAACCAAGTTCCTAGCTGTGTCTCTTCTAACCCTTGGGACCTCCAAATGCCCTGGCTCCTCACCTACTTGTTTACTCCTCTGTGCCCATGCCTCTGTGGCCTCATCACTTTCCTTCAGCCCCCCAAATATGGGGATGACACCAGGCAGGAACACCCCCTCCCCCAGAGATGCTCTTCCATGCAGACTAGAATGGGGAGGGTAGACTGCTCTGGCTGGTGTGGTCAGCCAGAGCTATTGTAAGGAAACACCACAGCCTTGGAATCAGACAACAAACATTTATTTCTATAAATGCTCGGTAGTCTCAGATCCCCAGGGCCACAGGTGTCTGGGAGGGCTGCTCCCAGGTCACAAATAGGTCTCTAGGTTCTCTCCAGGGCAGAGATGAACAGAGCTCCCCGTGGCCATTTTGTAAGACACAAATAACATTTCTGAAGTGGAGCCTTTGAAACCTGATCACCTCCCAGGACCTGATTCTGAATGCTGTCTGACATAAGAGGGTATGAGTTCTACATGTAGATGGGGGTGGGGGAATGGTTTCAGTCCTCAACACACCATACGGTAACAGGGACTTCAGGAGATGATGGTGCCCCCTCTAGTCTTTGATGCCAAGAGTCGTCTCTTTGCCTCTGTTCTGTAGCAACCCAATTCTATGCAAGTATCTCCTACATTCAAAGAGACTGGCTTTTTTTTCTGGACCTCACAAGCAAGTTAATAATACACTTTGAGATCACTGAAGACGTGACTTGCTAGCCTACTATGCAATTAGCATGCTGAAGTTTAACTTGCCGTTAAGAGAACAGTGTAACAACTGACCTTACTTGCCTCAGTTTCCCGTGTGATGCACTCTCACAAGCTATGCTAATCCATAACTTTGCTCTCAAGTTATATACTCTTCCACGACTCTATCCAGAGTAATGGATGTGCGTATGAGCGTGTTGTGGTAATCATTTGCTGAAGGTGGCCAACAGCCTGGAAGTGACTGTATATAGCAAATATCCATCACAATCACTGGAGGAACCTGTGGATATAACTTGATAAGTTATTTTTGTAGTACTGAGTATCTCAGGGTCAATTAGAATCACTTACTAAATACCTTGCAAAACTATCTGAATTCTGTAACAAATCTTCCGTTTCCCCTGCTGTGCTTTCTGTTCTGTTCAGTAAATAAAGAGCAGAGTCCAGGACAGACAGAAGATACAGGTAGAGAATTAAAGGATCCAAACTTGGGCTCTCTAATCAGTCAAACGAATCCAAGGGGAAGTGCTGAATTTTCATTCCTTGATGTGACACCAAAGCACTCCAATGCCTCTGAGGTAATCCTTAGTGCATTTTACCAGCACACTTCTCGGTAGTAATTCTGATGCCAAGAGAGGGGCAGGAGCCCATCATTGGCCCAGTTGAAGTCATCGAGAAAATAAATGACTGCGTAAGGAAGAAATAGTGGGAATAACTAAAGAGGTCATTTAAGGACAGAGACACAGAGCAGAACTTAGGTTCATCCAACCCATAAAACAGAAACAAAAGCCAAGAAGAATGAAGGTTTGAACACCAAGAATACAATAGAATGGTCTGTACTAAGCAGGGTGTAGGGAAATAAATACCATGGGGCAAGGGGACCTCTAGACTACCCATGGTGTGAGGAATAAAATACCATGGGGTGACGTGGTATACAGACAAAACACAGCAGTTAAGTAGTGTGAAACTCAGTGATAGAGAGTGGTCACATGTCTCCAATATTGGGTTAATATCCAATATTCAGTACTCTGGCCACAGCTGACTTACCATGCAGCTAGGACAATGGAACTTTTCATGTTCTCAGAGAAAAGGGCCAAGAAGGCTGGGCTGTTAGCCTCACCACAATTGGCAGAGAGCTAAGGGTGCATGCACTCCACCTCACTTTCTGGGCTTTTACAGGTAGATGCAGTGTGGTTGACTCTGAGTTGACCGAGCCTGATGAACAGCCAGACTTTCCATGCTGGAACTTGGGCTAAACGCAGCGCTCAGTTCCTTATAGTTGTTGCTGAGGATGCTGGCTAAGAGCATTGGATGAAAACAGGTGATGCTGGGGGATGTCTGAAATGGGACGATCACGTGGGGATGGAAAGGGGAGAGAGGGCAGTGGTAGGGAATAAGACAGCTAGAATTAAGGGTAGCATGGAAACATAATACAGTAGAAACCTAAAACATTTGCATATGTGAAGATGAGCTCAATGAAATCAACAAATAATGGGAGACAGAGATCCACCTGGCCATCTCTTGTCACCAAATGAAGTTTCTAGTAGCAGGTTTGGGTCACATCTGAGTTGTTGGCTAGAGGGATTCCACAGAATCCCCAAACAACCCAGGCTTTTGCCAACACTTCATAGGTTGCTCTCCGCAAATGGTCAGAAAGTCCCCATTGCTGAAGACAACACAGACACAACTCATTGAACATGGAGGTGTCAAGCTGGCACCCACAGAAGCCTTCACTCCTGTGTTCCAGCATCGTTGTTACAAG